CCTTGGAGTTTCGAAGACATAGGTTAAGCCACGGTTCTTGAAATCATTTCATCGAGGGTCAAAAACGTGTCTTTGCTTTTTTTCGCCGGGGGGTTCAAGCTTTCATATTTAACCCTCCCCCCGCTCTCTGCGCCTTGAGCCGTAGACAGAAGGGTACGGTTGCTGCCGCGGCAACCACTAACCCCTCCCCTCCCGCGCCGCCTAGACGGATGACCCCGGGGTCAGAGACGACATTACCGAAACGCGATGTCGATGACATCCAATGGCACTTGTCACAGTAAAAAAAAAGACGTAAAACAATGAACATAATAAACAGCAAATGTGTCATTGAAACAGGCAATGAGCAAGTTCTTAGAGGCTGTGAAAGGGGGTGACAACCTCAAAGCTATTTTTCGTTACCTTGATGCCCTTAAAACTGTGTCCGACAGTTTTGTCTGTGTCCGAGTCGGAGGAGGATTCCGAGGAGGAGGAGGCAGCCGATTGATGCATGTCCTGGGAGCCCCATCGGTCCTCAGGGGGAACACTGAAGCCCTCCTCATCTGTCATCGGGGTGTTCGCGTTGCCCGTGGCCTCAGTTTTAGGATCGTTCGCGGTCGCAGGACTGGTGGCTTTAGCAAGTGGACAAATTAAGTTGGATAGAGTAAAGCAGACTACGGTAGGCTAGGTTACCAGCAAAAACGCGCCTAGTCAGCTCCGGAGATGACAAGCAAAAAATACGATAATCAGATTCAGAGAGGATTCAAAAAACCCGTCTCCAACATTTACTGGGTGAAATATTATGTCACTTAATGCACTGCCCTCACGGGTGTACGGACTGCATCAGCCTACTCGGTCAAGTGCGTATCCATGACAGCGGCATCCACCGCAATGCCGACACACCTAGCACATCCTGCACAATCCTCAACGACTCTATCCCCAGCTCTCCACCACCACCACCACCACCGCCATCGCTACCACCAACAACAATAACAACAACAACAGCACTACTACGGCCGACTCAGCATCTCCCGATCTGTCCTGCCCTCACTGCCACCGCACATGCACATCACACGTCGGCCTGGTCGGCCAGTTGCGAATCCACCGCACAGAGACTGGTGAGCCAGTGGCTGGGG